TCTGGATATCCATCGCAGTCTGAAAGCTCTCAGAGTAGCAACGACTATGCTTCAAGACGATCCTCATATCCCTCTCAATCTGGCTCTCCTTCATCGTCGGGATATCCGTCGAGAAGTTCCGCCGGTTATCCGTCCAGCTCTGGATATCCATCGCAGTCTGAAAGCTCTCAGACTAGCAACGACTATGCTTCAAGACGATCCTCTTATCCCTCCGAGTCCGCGTCTCCTTCAAGGTCCGGATATCCTTCGAGCAGCTCGTCGTCCGGTTACCCGGCAAGCTCCGGATATCCGTCGGCATCCGGTTATCCTTCGCGCAGCGGTTCCGGTTACCCTTCAAGCTCGAGTGGCTACCCTAGCAGCTCTTATCCTTCGTCTGGCTCTAGAGCATATCCATCGAGCTCGGGTTACCCTGGCAGCTCGCCGGTAAACGAAGACAGCGTGAAACGATCTGGCGCCAGCACCGTCAACGCTGGTTATCCTGGCCAACCTTCTCGAGGCGGTTATCCGGCACAATCGTCGGGATATCCAAGTCAGTCTGGCTATCCTGGACAAGCTGGTCAGTACGGTAATCAGGATCCTAGGTACCAGGGTAGTTATCCTCAAGGATATCCTCAAGGATATCCTGCTCAAGGCTACCCGCAGGGATATCCGCAAGGATATCCTCAAGGTTATCAACAGGGGTATCCTCAAGGATATCCGCAGGGGTATCCTCAAGGTGGTTACTATCCTCCTCCTCCTTCTACTACCAGGAAACCGAATTTCGGTGATCAGTTAACCAACATTGCGAAGGACTTCACTAACAGGGTTATTACAAAGGCTGTTCTAGACAAAATTCAGTCGACTGTAGGATAGCTTGGCGCGTGACGTTGTTAATTAGTTACTACCGCTGCTTTCGCGTTGTTTATTGTTCGCGTATAATTTATAGCTGCAGCAGTGTGCTGTTAACGCTGAACCTAGCAAGCTGGTCGAAATGAATGGTTTCGAAATTTTCCTGTGGAGATTGCTGAAATTATAGTGGCACTTTCATAGGAAATTATTGAATACTATGGTCGAAATAGTGGTGGGTTCATAACATTTTTGTGACATAACAGTGTGTTTTATGTAACATTTCCGTCTTTTTGTTATTAGTTGGTGATTCGTTACAATGCATTCGGTGGAACACATAATTGTTGAAGTAATATGGTTATTACATCAATATGACAGAAATTTATAAATTTTGTGCGAAATAAATATACTTAATATTATTATATCATGTTATATTATAAAAATATACTTAATATTTTTGTATCCACATCATGAATGCAATTGTAAATGAGTTAATTACGAAGAAAACTTGATGGTTAATTGTGGTCCTCCATTGTATCGCAAAAATGAAGTGAATCTATCATTATTTCGGCCACTGTATAACTTCGTTCAAGCACATATTACAATAAAAAAATGGCGAGAAGTAAAAATTAACTGAATTTTGTCATTCTTATGTTGTAATACACGTTCATGCATTTTTAAAGCTTGCTGGGTTGAGTACTAATTGATGCCCGAGTTTTAGTTTGTTTTAGTTAATCTGTATGAGCATATGTTACCTTGATAACGGAAACTTTGTTTTACGATAAGTTTGTATGAAAAGTAATATCAATGAATCGATGGCGCAGCGCCCAGTGCCGAATGATTGAACGAAATTGATCGATGTGTTACTACCTTTGGCGAAATATATTTATTTGATCCAGCAATCTAATTTTCTTGTCAAAATGACTTATGAAAATCCGTTTACCGCATTACGGAAGCGTTTTCAATAATAATAATAAAGAAAATGAAGTATTTCGTCGAGGATAATGTTATAAAGTCTAATGCTATTTGCAGTTACTGTTTACTTTAGTCCAGAATTTATTCTTATGATTTTAAGTTTAATCACAACTGTCTTCATCAAGCACACGAACAAAGTACCTACTATTGCTGTATAACATTTAACAAAGTGAAATAAAAATGTAATATAATATTAAGCAGAATCATGAAAATAATTTATTGATTTGATCGTAACTCGCAATAATTACCAGTCGGATATTACTCAAACCAGCATACTAGACGTTTCAGTAGTGCAAGCGATTGATTAGTATCGGGCCCGACGCATTCCATTCCTTTATAATGTATCACAATACAATTGTCTATAAATGCAACTGTGCATGCACCGGTACACCCTGGCATTACCTGCGTGTCCGATGAAGATATTCGTTGATAACGTAGCCCTGTGGTCTACAGGTTAATTATCATGCGATGAGTGTCGGTGACACACCCTTTGTCCACGGGCCCGTGTGTAATTAACCAAATTATTCTAGATGCGTTTAACAGCTGATCGATCGTTGCTACGAAACTGTAAATACTTGTAAATACGGGCTGATCTACAATTCTCCTTTCACAAAGGGAACGCCAAACGAATGCGTATTGTGCGATTTACATAAACCTCTTTGCAATGTCATATTCAGAAGTTCAAAGTCTACTATCTTCTCAAGATGCTTATTTAATCTTGTTTATTGTGTCCGTAAAATTGAAAGAGGATAAAATAGGAATTCTATCTGAAAATGTAAATTGTATTTCTTTAGTCAAACGCAGTCAGTTCTGGTTATGATAAATAAGATGCGATACAATAAAATGAACTACGATAAAGTGCACTACGATAAAATGTATTACAATAAAATACAATGAACTGCGTTACAATAAAGTACGATAAAATGCATTGCAATAAAATACGATAAAATGCATTACAATAAAATGGATTACGATAAAATGGATTGCAATAAAGTGGATTACGATCAAATGCGTTACAATAAACTGGATTACGATAATATACGTCTTAAGCTTAGTAATATTCTGTAGTAGCAGGTCAACAATTTATGGAACGGTGCTGTTTGCGGATTTAAATATACAAAGGTAAGTGAGCTAACTCTTTTTCTAAAATTTTCTAAAAATAAGAAATATCGTAATAGAATTCTAGACGCTATATATGAAAGTCCATAAGAAAACTCCATAAAGAAAGCCTCTACGATTTAGTGCTCCGTAATCTAGTGTCAAGGATATTGAACCAATCTCCCATTTTCCTGCGTATATACAAGATATCTTCTTTTACACGGTATCTTTTTACACGTTTTTTTTCTGGAACGTATCTACCGTCTAGAAACAGCATTGGCTGTAACCACAATCAACTATGTACCAACAGCTGATATCGACGAGCGTCCAACAACGGCGTCTTCTTACGCATCGAAACTCTAAAACCGATTAAACCTTCGATCCATCAAAGGACATCGAGCACTGGTCTAATCGAAAAATCGTGTAAAATTAGTCCCACATGTAATATGCTAACAGCACGGTCACCAATCCGGCGATAACAGAGATTCGGCGCGGCATTGTTTTACTATTCGACGGTACAGTCGCTTCTCGTTTTTAGCGGCGGAGAAGAACGAATCGATATCTCCGCCGCGCGTGTTCGCCGGGGTGGTAGATGCCACTTGCACCCTCTCTCCGAGAATAATCCAGCCACCCTATTTCTGGCGGCACTCGGTTGCGAGACTTCGTCTCGGTTTCGGCGGTCCGCACAGTCGCGCCGCATCCACCGCCGGTTGCGCACCTTCCTCAGGTCTCAGACCGCTTCGTCCACACGCCGTGAAAACCTTAATCAACCAAACGATCGAACCACAATGGAAACACGTGGAGAACGTTTCCCTCGTCCCGCAACGGCGACCAACGACGTCCAATACAATTAAAACCGACAATCCACGAAGACGATCGGTCGCGCCGATTTTTCAACGAAATCGCGGCTCCTAATCTCCGGCGATCATGCGACCGAGATCGCCGCTAGCCTGTCCGAAAATCACTTCGATGCCAAACGAGCACGCGTAGGCACAAAAAAGGTCTGTTCACCGGTGAACGTTCGTTCCTAACCGGACCAAGTTGTGTTCGATCGTTACCGTCACGATTTCGCCCGATCGATGCGAGAGTGTCCCGGTAGCAATCGAAGGAAGGAACCGGCGACATGCGAAACGTGTTGCGATCGTTTCCTCGTTAACGCCTGCAGGGAACGCGTTCGGGAGTAATTAGTAGGTACTTCGCGAGCGTGCGAGCAAAGTTTCCGGGAAGTTCGAGCATGACGTTCGAGGGGCAGAGTGACGACGGCAGTGAAGGCAGTGCTAGAGGATCGTAATGGTTTCATTTTTTCCCGAGGATACTAGATCCTCCGACCGTGGTGCAGCTGGTCTAGTGTGAACGCGCTCATTAAGCGAGGCTCGCCGAACAGCGACGTGCGGGGGGCGATCTCTGTGGAATCGAAGTCTCCTTTGGATCCGGCCGCCCCGTGCACCGGATAATTAATCGACGAACAAGATCGCCGGATGACGCGTAGCAATTAATTAGCCCCAACGCTCCCGGCGGAGAGGTCGCCGGTGTGAAAGGGCGGCGTGCTCGGTAGGGAAAAGAAAAGGAATCATGCGCTCGGATGTCTCCGGCTGGTTATGGTCGCGTCGCTGGCCGGGAAAGTGCGCCGGCAATATTCGTCGGGATCAGAACCGTGGGGCCGACGATCTGCTGCGGCTGAGCCACCAATCATGAATCGATCTACCTGCATCGGTTTAGCCTTATCAGCTTTAATCCGCTAAAAGGAAGGTCGGAGGCTCGTCGTAGTCCTCGCACCTCGCTCTCGGATACCGGCACGCGAGGGACCCAAGGTAATTACGCGAAGATCCCTCTAATGCAAGATATAAAAGTATCTGTTATGAAACACCGCTCAGTTGCGACTCGTTCTTGAAACAGTAGCGCAAACAGTACAATAAATAGTAGATAAAGCGTATGAGAGTGGATCGAAAAATTCTACCCACAGCTTTCAACATTGTCCTTTATAGATTCACTCGCGCAAATACTGTTGTGTAACACGGTAATATCCCACATGTGTACATGTAACGACTCTGTATTTGCTGAACAATTCCATCCGATTTGAAACATTGATGTTGAAATAAAAAAAATCAATTGTAAAAGAAAATGTTTATTCGAATACGAGTGTTTCTAAGCAAGGACATATCGTGTACTTCGAGTTTTCCATTGCCCCGATTTATGGAACACGGGGACGTGGTACGAAAACGCTGCTTCGTAATAGATACACGCTCTACTAGTTTACTCGTATTATTTTTATATTACTTTTTTATATTCCGAATAAATATTTCAAAGTTCATTGCGTCGTCTAGAAACGTCAGTCTATCGTGCAATAGTATAAATATTAAATAATAACACTTTTCAGCTGTAATAAAATCGATAATAACTTCATACACCCTGAAAAGCGTTCCATAATAGATGCTTTTACCTAAAATGTCGTTTGATGAATATCCGTGTAGCGTCGCACGGTATCCGACCGGTCACGTGTCGCACGGTGGCCAAGCTTGCGATCGCGGGGGACGAAAAGGTGGCCCGGATGTGCCGCCGAATCGGACGGACCCGCAGTCCACAGTCCACTTTTGTATCGAGTTGAATTGTCCGCGGAAGGTTTTCGTGGTCGTCAGAGGTGTTTAATCGCGCGAAAATTATGGGAGATGACGTTTGCTATTCTGTACGACATGCGTTCGCGTCGTTGGAGGTTTCTAACGCGAGTAAATTTCACTCAGTGAAACGGTTCGAATAAAGTAGTGCCGGGGATGAGTAAGTAGGATCATTTGTTACGATGTTGTGTCACCTTTGGACTGCCGGCATGATGCCATATGGAGTCAGTAATATATTGTACCGTATTTCGGAGGCTAGATGGTTCTTTTTCATCTGACTCGATTTGTGAGAAAAATTATTTATGGTGCAGTTTACAATATCTGACAACATATTAGGTTTCCTAAATAATTTTTCCCACAACGCGAATCGGGTGAACGTAAAATTCTCCAAAGGACGGTACAATATTGGTGACTTCATATGGCATCATGCTGGTAGTCTAAAGAACAATGAGAATTGTAGGAATGATCGATCGCGGGACTGACTCTTCGTTTTTTGGTTGGTTCGACTGCGCGAATGAATCGTGTTGCTGTATTTTATTTTGTGTTTAGTTTATGTACGAATTCTCGATAGTATTGTTTGTAGACTGTGAATCCTTATGGAAAACAAATATTTTCTAAGAGAATTGTAAGAAACAGAAATTAATGTTAATAATTTCGATGAGTTGAAACTAACAATATTATTGAATTGTTCTTATGTGTTCTCAATTTAATATGTCAGAAAATAGTGTTACGATATTATTGAATCGTTCTTATGTCTACACAATTTTGTACGTCAGAAAATATTGTAACAATGCTGTTAGATTGCTCTTACGTCTTTATATGCGAGAAAATAGTATAGTAGTGTTATTGAATTTTTTCTTACGACTATATAATTTTCTATAGAAAATATTGTAGCAATCGTATTAAATTGTTCTTGGGTCTCCATATGTCAGAAAATACTGTAACAGTATTATTGCTTTTGTCTACACAATTTTACTTAGATACTAATTTTGCCGAAAATGCACAAGAAAGCTATAACTAAGCACATACGCAAGATAATATTTAATTTCCCAAAAAAGTGATCGATATCTATCCATATAAAGCTTCCTATTTTTTCACTTATCACAACCCGAAGCAAGAATGTCTGATCTCATGACGAGCAAAACACAATGTTTTAGCAGAACCGTGTAACATCGTGGTTAATTGAATACATTCTCCCACGACTAAATAAAGCAGAGAACGATTGTTTCGCATTCGGAGCATTCCGCTTTAAATATTTATATTTTCGCCGGTATCGAACACGTATAAGCAACGTCGCGGGAACACAGAGAGCGCAATAAAGCCGGCGACACTTTTTCGGCAGCTGTGTGTTCCGCTGTCAAAGGGACTCGGCTAAAAAATGAAATAGATGCAATCGGTTTAAAAGTCCTGCGTACAGCGAAATGAGAGAATCCCGTGGCCGTGGTGGCACGCGTTTCACAGCCGGACACCGGTGAGCCGCGTGACGTATCGGAAAAAGTTGGACGACATTCGGGGCGAAGTATCGGTTATTGAAATCCCATCGTTCCTCCGCGACTGTTTAATTATTTAGTGATTTGGTCGTCGTTAGCAGGGGATCCCGGTGCACTCGAACCGCGTCGATATTTGATAACACACGGATCGGTGGATCGTTTCGCGTCGATTTCGAAGCCAATGCATGAAGGAGCACTTCATTTCTAGAGAACAGAAATCTATTGATACCTTCTATCCTGCTTTCGATACTGCCAACAGAGAACAAAACGATCCTTACGGGAGAAGGAAGTTCGAGTGCCACGGAATCGCGATGATCGATGGAACGTTCGCGAAAAGTGCAGAAAAAACTTGCGAAATTCCTTCGGGTTCGGAAATCAAAGAAATCGAGTTCCTTCGGTTCTCGCTTTGCAACTTCTCTACCGTATCACGCAGTGCTCGATTTTCTTGGAAAATAGTATGATGGAAAGTGGCAAATGAAAGGAAAAATTGTTTTGTGAGCGAAAGATCTTTTTGTAATTTATTTACTTAATGTCCTGTTCATGTTTAACAGCGATTAGCGACCACTTGTCGAGTCGGAAAGTATGTTGACTCCTTTTCAAACGGAATAACTTTATTTTTAAATTGGTCCGAACGACTTAAATTTTTGTGGGACATAAATCGACTAGTTTTCGCGAGGATTAAGAAATGATGTTTTTCCAACCCTTCCGTTTACGCTTATAAAGGAAATTTGAAAAATGTAAAAGGAAAGATATAAAAATCTGCAGATTTGTTACAGGACTTGGTCGAAAAATGATATTAATTTTCAGATAGAGAAAATATTTATTTCAATGAAGTATATCAGATTCATATTGTAACATATAAATCTTAAATGCTTATTATATATTTGTAAAATCAATGACGTATTTCAGTTAATACATTATTTAATACAAAAATGAGTTATTATTTCAAATCAAACATATGTAGGAAATAGTGTTAGAAAATACTTGTATCTCTCAGTTGAAATATTTCTGCCCAGGTCTGGTTTCATTTTGTCACCTGTCAATAAAGCAAGCTTCCAGGTCTCAATGATTTCTGTCCCATTTTTAGGAGGAATCGACCAGCGTGCGTCGCGCTGTCTCTCGCTTATGCTTCGTTGAATATTAAGGATCGCGTTATGATTTATTAGAGTTTTTATTAGGCCTGCGACTCCGAATAATACCTCGTTTAAGACCCTGTTCGCCGGTTTTTCTTTTATATTAGGTGTTGCATACAAAATGAGCCGCGCCGCCGTAAATTTTCCGACGCCTCCGAGAATCTCGGCGTGGCTCAGCGCCTTGGATTTTTAGGAGAAGAGAAATAATTTGCCGCGATCCTGTTCCGTATCGGTTTCATATTATTTATATTTGCTTAACCGAGAACGAACGCTAAATGGAGCACTCTTTCAACGGAGTCACAGAAGTGAGTCGCACGTGCTCTCAACGTGACCTGAATTTCGATAAGCCACCTCGACCAGTCAAACACGAGCCGAAACGGGTCAGTTTCTGCGTTTTCTCCCTTTCGATTCTAATTTTGATCGAGCCTGCTTCCCGGAAACGCGGAACCCCGTTGTTAAACAAATGCTTCCAGCGGGATTAGCCGGGAAAAATTTGGGAGACTGATTTCCTTTTGTTGGGCACGCGGAAAAGTAATATTGATCGTTCAGCCTGCTGAAATGGAACCGTGTCGTTAACTACTTCTTAATGAAAAATTGGCACACGGAATATCGTACGGAAGTCATAGATTGCAATGACGGTTATCCATAACACGAAACAATATCGCAGTAAATTATAAAATACATAAAACAGCTATTTTTGAAACTCGTACAGTTGGACTAACAGGGTAAAAATGCATAATGTCAGACCTACTATTTTCGATTAAAAACACTTTTATTAAAAGTAGATGCACATTTAAAAATTAAGATATGTGTTCCTTTACGATGTACCGGAAGATACGAGAAACAAAATTCCGTTTTATTGTAATAAAAGATAAACTGAAAGTATGAAAATTCACTGATTTGAGAAATGAGTTTCTAATGTGAGTCTCAGTTTGGCTATTCCAGAAAGGCGTATCAAATTCGTAAATCTTAAATTTCATTATATATTTGATACATTTTCATTATATATTTTGTATCGTTTTCTACATTTTATTATTTTTACTGTTTTTTATACTTGTCTTTTTGTATCCTTGATATTACTAATGGGTTCTATCACTCGTGCATAATAAATAATGGTAGTAATATTAAGTTGTGATCTAGCTTATTGCATTTCGGACTGCAAAAGTGCAGATCGATTCGGACAAACTGTGAGAATACCTTAAATTATGCAATAATTACATACATTCAGGAATCTTTTTCGCGAAGCGAAGATGTAGGTTACAGTATAAAAGTTAGCTGGAGATTCGTTTCGATAAGGGCTGAGGCACAGGAGAATTGTTCGACGGGACAGGTGGTATATTAAATATATCAAGGACAGAGTATTAAAATCGTATGGATTGTATGTGGTAATGCACGTTGGTTTTCAGAATTCGAAGCGGCGCGGTGTTCCAATTTAGCATAAGAAAGGGTGTCCGCCCTCCTATGCATTCGTTTCTCAGCTGAAAGCTTTCTATTCTTATTGCAGCAATATATTGCTGTAATATATGCAGCATTTCTCTTGCCAAGAGATTTTTCATGTCAGCAACATTCTCGCATTGACGGGAAAGCAATCAAAAATTGCAATTATTCGAATTTAAAAGGGCTTTTCTAATTATGAATCATTTCAATAAGTATTTCATTTTGTTATTCTTGACTCAGTATTTAATAAGTAAAATTGCATAATTATTTAATTCTGTAATTATTGATCTAGTATTTAATAAATAATATATATATATATTTATAAACATTTCATTCTCTCATTTTTGATCCAGTATTTAATAAATAACATTGCATGATCATTTCATTTTGTAATTATTGATTTAGGATATAATAAGTAGAATTGTATAAGCATATCATTTTGTAATCACTAATCTAAAAAGCGAAATTGTATAAACGTTTCATTTTTTAAATTATTGATGTAGTTTTTAACGAGTGAAATTGCATAATCATTTCATTCTGTATTTCTTGATCTACTATTTAGTAAGTGAAATAGCATAAATGAAATTGAAGGCAGTGAAATTATTATAACAACTATTAGGAAAAGAACGAGTTTTCATTTGTAGAAACTTTGCACGTTGCATATAACTACACAGTCTACTAATTAATAACAGAACATTCAGAAAACAATCTGTTTTCAATGAAGATTTTCTAAAGTGAGAAACTAACGTTCGTAGATTAGTAAAAAATTCTTCAAAAGGTTCGTTTCATTGCATAGATTAGAATATTGAATCACGTGACTCGAGCAATTTATTTTAAGTAACATGATTCCATCGTTACAGAAGGCGAGTAATTTAATTAGAAAAAACACCTTGGAACTCAGATGTCTTAATGATCTCGATAAATGTAAATGCAAATGAAAAATTTCCAACACGATACTATCTCTTCACTTTAATTTCTTCACTCTTTCAGTCTTGTTCGACAATCTGCGAATTAAAAAAATCATAACTACACCGTCAATTCAATTTCTATTAAAATTTAATTCAATTATACGCGTGTTGTTCAAACTGCAGTATTCTTCTAAATGAAATTACACAATTTCGTATGCTGGTTTGCACATTTAAATCTCGATTATCATGCACAACAATATTTCTAGCCAACGTTATGCGCACAATGAGATTATCATTTTTGTGCAATTGTAACTGTGCGAGCTTAAATTTGCATAAGTTTAAATTAGTTGAATAGAGGGCTTGGTTTCTCGCTTCTATATTAGCCGCACGAATTCTTACACAACTCGGGAATATCATTTTAATTAAACGAAGTAATGCACTTTTCGATAGAAAAATCGGGAAGTTAATTGAAGCAGATGCTGTGCTTTCAGTATTTGGTGTTTAATTAATGTCGGCTGATTTTTAATTGAACGCTGAGATATCAAACGAACGGGTAGAAAATACTTTTGTATGCGAAACGTAATCACTAGATTGCAAACTTTTGCGCATCCGTAGCAAATGTAGATTACAATGTCAGTTATATGCGAGTTAAATTTGACAAGAATTTCAACTTATTCTGAACACACCGATGAGTTTTCCATTTAATCCTCGACTAAACCGCCGAACGAATTATATAGAAAATATTTTAACGTGCAGAACGAAAATATTTTAACTTACTAGATTGCAAATTCTGTGTGCATTTATAATGTGCAGAATATCATAAGATATACGAGCAAGATTCATCGAGAATTTCAATTTATATATAATATACTAGCCTTTTAGTGAGACCACTTACACTGAGGTACAAATTAAACGCTTCTGTAAATTTCTCTGTATAATCTAAATTCATTTGAACATTCGCAGTCAAGGTCTCAGTATATTCCACTTATTCAGTAGTCACTAGACCGCTGATTTTTTATTTATTCATGCAGCTGAAACCTCCGGAGGGAGATTATTCAGAGATTATTCCATGCATAATATTTATAATATTAAACTTACACTGATGTGTATATAATGACAGTAATTATAATACATATCCGTCATGCGTTTATGAAAAAAAAAATAATTTGGTCAAATACAAAACAGTAAAAACATTTAAGGGGGACATCTTGCAATTAATGCAGACAATTTTTATTTTGCATAAAAATCCACACTGTGAAATCTATTTCATTCTGCAAAAATATAAATAAAACTACAGTAAATTTTCCTTAACTGACGCTCAGCTTGTATACAAAAATGGACAATTTCGGAAGAAGAAATACGATTATTCGAGCCTTGCGGCTCGTTTTTATAATTATCGATTATCGACAACTATAAAAACGAGCCGCAACGCTGGAATAATCGTACCTCCTCTTCCCAAATTGTCCATTTTAGTTTCCAAGCTGAGCGTCAATTAGGGAAAATTTACTGCATACATCTTCGTACAGCAAATAGAGGCAATTTTAAGAACATCTACTTATTGAATTTTCAGTCGCCTTAGCAACGAACGATTCGATTCCTGTCTCGTTCGGAGTAGCTCATTGGAATCCTGAACCGGTGGAAGATGCGGAAACGATCGGAGATTGCCTGAACAAGGAATCATAGCTGCTGACAGAGTGTCACGCCTGACCGAAACATGGTTCGCAGGCGAACAAAATGTCTCGGTGCGATGACACGGACGAGTAGTTACTACACAAATCTGCCATAATTATCGACGTAACTAGCACAAGAGGTCTAAAACTAATTCAATTAAATGCGGCACTAGTCTGCGGTCGAGTCGACCGAGGAAACGAGATCGAGATCTCCTGAAATGCGTCCGCGGAACTGATCGACAGCGGTTTGGCAGCTCCGTGGCAGACTTCGGCCAGTTTGTTAGCTGTGATACGCGATGCTCCAAGAAATGGGGATCGCGCTAGAGAACGCGATGATCAACGTGACGAGCACCTCGGATCCGGTGCAGAACGACACCAACGATTACGGTTTCGATCGGCAACAAGTGCAGAGAATCGTCGAGGTCGTTGTGCCACTGTTCTTCGGCATGATCGGCATACTTGGATTCGTTGGGAATTGTCTGGTTGTGACCGTCGTCGCGGCGAATCCCGGCATGAGATCGACGACGAACATTCTGATCATCAATCTCGCCGTGGCAGATCTGCTCTTTGTCATATTCTGTATACCGTTCACTGCGACCGATTTCGTGCTGCCATTCTGGCCGTTCGGCAACATCTGGTGCAAGATCGTCCAGTATCTAATCATCGTCACCGCATTCGCCAGCGTCTATACTTTGGTCCTCATGAGCCTGGACAGGTGAGTCCTCAGTTCGCTGTATTTTTCTACCTTTGCGATCTCCCTGGTTTAAAACGAAATATATTAAACAGCAAAATTAAAGCATCGCTGATTTCTGTCCGAAGTGTGTTTCGTCCAAATGTGTCGAGTTTCTTACATTTCGACGAAACGCACTTGGAGCACAGCAAGTGTGACTTGCGTGTTGACTTAAAGTGCTGTAACTTCGTGAGAAAAAATCGTATTGACTTAACTCAACCCTCAAATTACAGTAAATCTTCCTTAATCCGCGCTCAGATTGTGCACGAAAATGGACAATTTGAGAAGAGGAGATACGATTATTCGAGCCTTGCAGTTCGTTTTTATAGTTACCGATTGTCAACAATTATAAAAACGAGTCGCAAAGCTCGAATAATTATATCTCCTCTTCTCAAATTGTCCATGTTTCTGCAAAATCTGAGCGCGAATTAGAGAGAATTTAGTGTACAGGGGAAATTCCGGATTTTACGATGTTGTAAACGGCAAAATTGATTTAATTTACAGTAAGTGTACTAATACTTTTTAGCGCGAGGTGTGAGTCGAGTTTCAATTTCAAAGAATTTTTCTAATGTTCTTTAAGTACTTTTTTCAAATTGACACGGTCCCGTGAAACAAATTTCGTTTTCATTCTCTATAGACGTCAAGTTAACACAATTTTTCCAAGTCGGAGATATATGGATACGCGTGTTGAAAGATGTTTTCTAAGTTCGTCGATCTTTATGAATATTTTCAAACAAAACTAATAAACATGTCAAGTCGATACTGCACTTTCTTATTCAGCAATGCTCGGCGAACATGCAAACGTCCTCTCATGTAAAATTAATGATTCTGTCCAAAGTTATGGCAGTTCTGGCAGCATGCCTTAGGAACATTTTTCTGAAACTTTCCGCGAACCGGCGGGGAAATGGAAAGATTCTTGATCCGCGTGGGCGTTTGAACTAGAGTGAAGCAAAAACATCAAAAATGAAAAATATGTCAGCATTTGCAAGAACTCTGACGTTCGCAATTTTTCATAAACCAAACAAACGTTGACTTGATCCCAATTTGAACTTAAACCGTGTTTTCCTCAAATTTATTACTAAATATGGAGAAGTTGTTTGCTTACATGACTGTATAATTTTTTTAAATTATGAAATTCTAAAAAAAATTGTTAAACTATGAAACTTGAAAACACAACTTTGTATACTGTAAAAATTTTTATAAAATCTTGATAAGGTATTGGAGGTTATGAAATCTTTTAAAAATTTGTGAAGTTTCCATTACTAATTTTATATTTCACAAATGCATGTCACTATTTGTTCATTTACGAAATTATTTTCGATTTCCGTCCAAAATTCTTCAATTCGGCCGCACAGCATCTTTGTTCGTATTTTAATTACGTTGAAAGGATACATAACGGCTGTTTGCGCGAGAAAATAAAGAAATTTAGTCACGGTTCTTTTTTTATTTACCCGCGGTTGTAAAAGTTACGAATGCATAAAATTTGCAGTCTATGCACCGGGAGGCGAGGCCGTCGCTTCACGACGCTTTGATCGCTGCCAATGCGATAGATCATACTCGGAGGAAGCCGTTGTATAATAAAACTCGATCTTGTATGTAGCACGTGGAAATGTAACCCATTCTGGACCCGTAAATATCAGCAGCATTTCCGGTTGCATTTCCTCGCTGTAGAATCACGTGCTGTGCCCGTAAATGCCATACGTACGGAAGGAATCTTGACTCTTCCCCCGACCACGCGACACCTTCATTTTCTATTATGTATCAGAATTTCCGCCCCTGTAAAATTGCGGTTCCCTCCGTTCCGATTTTATTTGCTCCACCGATGGTCACTATTTATTTTATATGAGGCTACGACTTATCAAATGTGACAAAACCGAAGTATAAAATTGTTTCGAATAGTTTTTAATTGTTTTTAGTTTTTTTTACCATTTTCAATCATTTTCCATACTTTACAATAGTTTTTAATGATTCTTAATACTTTCTAATAGCTTCACACAGTTTGTCGTGCTTTTTAAGTTGTTCTTGATCGTTTCCAGTTTCGCTTACATGTTTTTTTATAATTATATATCCTTCACACAATGCAAATAATAATAATATTTATTTTTTTATTTTTTACATTATTCCCACTATGTTAAAATATCATAAATAAATAAATAAACACATTTTGAACCTATTAAATAATGAAAATAATTTTTTGAATATTTTGTCAATAATTTTTATTTATTTCTAATTATTTTTGCTTATTTCTCATTGTTTTCACTCGTTTATGATTATTTTTACTTGTTCATAATTATCTTTATATGTTTATAATCATTTTCATTCGCTTACAATGATTTTTTCGAAGTAAAATACTATAAATAAGTTGGTAGGTAAATATTAAACACGTTAAGCGAGAAAAATACCATCGAAGTCTGACGAAGTCGACACGAAATTCGAAACTAACTTTGATTCAGTTCGACGCTTTCTCTTTTTTGCTTCGTTATTTATGCAAATTAACTCTCTTGCGGACGTAGAGATTGAAATTGAAAGAATCGCGTTTGCTTCGGGGCGACTGTATTCAATAAATTAAAGATGAAATGAAAATGTATGAAATTCTGCGAAGATTCGTGTAAAAAGCTCGGAACCTTCACTGGTGTCGTTAATTTAAAGACGAAACGAAACTACATGAAATTCTACAGAGTCTCGCACTAAATCTTCGAATCGTTATTGCTGCCGTTAAATTATAGATGAAACGACGGTGTATGAAATTCAACAGGGGACGAAGCTTTGAATTTTTTAACAATTCTTTTTATTTCGCTCGGAATTAGTTTCTTGTTTACTATATTTGTGCTTACTATTTGTATTTACTATTGCCATCGATGTTGTATTTTTTCCGATTCGAGATATATTCGAATACACCAAATATATCGAACATATATTTGGTATCGCGAAATTCATAACGAGAGTGCTGCTTGTTTTCCGGCAACAGCGAGTGCAAATATTTCAATAATATTTTCCGGAGTTAATTAAAATCTTTATCGAGCTTCACTAACAGGATAATATTGACGGCGAACGCTCTCTAAAAGTTGATTACAATTGCGTTTGGTTTTTATTGATTTGTAGCTTTTTTATATTGAGTGCTAGCACGGCAACCACTTATGCGAGCACACGTTCATTTAATAACAATCGAACATTTAATGACAAGTCATTCGTATCAGCGTTATCCTCGATGAAGCTTTTTTACCATGAGCTTGCAATTAACAACTAGGTTAATCGTGATTTCCCAATAACCTGCATAATTCAATCTGTTGGCTATCATCCAAGTCGATTACCATGAATCATTGTCCATTTATTTTGCCGGGTATATGACAAGTAAAACATTTGCGAAGTAAACACGTCTGTTACAGCTAATTCACAAATTATTTGCCACAGCGCCTAAAGATAGCAACATCTGCAAATCACGCGCCATTAATGTCACTGGAATTTCCTGCGTTTCGCAGATGTATCATTCATTTTATTCGCAGCTGACGTGTCACCTCCTCGACTTCGTTTCTTTAGGGCTGCAGTTTCTGCGCACAGTGCACACGTTTCATACAAATATTAGTTTCTCTTCGCATCATATTAATATTTGACCACAAATATTCCACTTTGCCTTCATATCGTATTAATATTTAATCACAAATATTTCACTTTACCTAATATACTTGTTGTACAAGCTCCGTATTTTATTGTCAATCTAAATCTGGAAACAATTATGCCGTAATTTTTATTTATTTTCCTTTGTTATTCGTGAAATGAGAAGTACTTTACTTCTTATTCTATTTAATTATATCAATGATTCGTATTAACAAGCTTAGCAGATCGATTTTCAATATTCCGAGTCGTAGAATTACAAACACAAATGTAGATTTAATTGAAACTACAGTTACCGACAGATTTAATTTTCCAGACTTTCTGCAGTGATTTATTTTCTTCGTAATAAAGACTCTGTCGTTTTCTCATTTAGCATGCTGAAAACAGAATTGGACATTAATCGAATTGTTTCGAATAAATATTTAACTGAGATAATCGTCTCTCTCTGAATGAATTCAATTATTAAAATCAATATTTTATTCGGTATATGGAAGAAATAAATCGGTGAACTATGACAAATCAATTTACATTCTATCATTTTTATTCAAATCGATTATTTTCCGTATGAACTCCTGCATGAATAAAATCTTATTCGAAGGAAGTCTTAGTCGAATAAAGTCTTATTCAAATGAATTCTTAGTCGAATAAAATCTTATTCGAATGAATTCTTGTTCGGATAAAATCTTATTCGAGTGAATTTGTATCTACATAAATTTTTATTCGACTTGATCTATATATATATTGTCGAATAATTATATAATACAATTTTGCTCAATTCCGACTGAAATTAGCAAGATCGTAGCAATTAGTAGCGAAAAATATATATTCATTATTACAGGTACTTAGCAGTGGTACATCCAGTCACTTCGAGGTCATGGCGGACTGAAAATCACGCGATCCTTGCTATTTGCATCGCGTGGGCGATGATCTTCGCGATCTCTACCCCTGCCCTCGTTATTCACGGCGAGGTAAGTCATTTACAAGTGTTCAAAATAGTTCATTCTACCAAGAAATTTGCCAAGACAAGCAAATTCCTTGCGGTCGAAACAATATAAGTCCTCCCATCTTCGAAATCCCAGTTTTTTTCCCATGACTCTGCCCTCGACGTTGTTTCATAATTGTTAGACCGTGGATCTTTATGCAAAATACAAATTTTCTATGTCGATTGTATGGAACAGTGTATAAAGAAAAATTGGTTTCTTCTTTTGATCATTTTAATGAGTCGGCGATACGCTAGGCGACACAAAGATTGCAATCTTTAAAATAAACGTGATTTTTATTTATTTAACATTAGAACCAATGCTTTGTATTTATATAAACTTGCAAGATACCACTGTAAACATCATCGAATGAAATAGAATTGAATTTCGCCAATCTAAACAATTATATTTAACGAAAAAAGAATTTTATGAAAATATAGTGCGATAAAATGGTAGCACATTTAACTAAAAATGATGTGTAACAATAAATCAGTGACTGAGATACGTTCAGCAATAAATCAACGATGAGGTTGGCTAAGCAATAAATCAACGAAAGAGATTCGCTACACAATAAATCAACTAATGAGGTTCGTTAAGCAATAAATCAACGAATTTTCATTTTGTCGCACCATATTTTCATAGAAATACAATTTTTTCAAATAAAATTGTTCAGACTGCCGAGATTTAATTCGATTTCCTTTATGTATGTTTATAGTCGTATTTTGCAAGTTCGTATAAAAACAAAATCTTGGTTGTATGTTAAGTATATAAAAATCATGTCAATTTTAAGGCGTACTATCTTTTCGTTGCGGAGTGTAGTACAGCAATTGTTGTAAAAAATGTTCTTCAATTCTTCCAATGTATTCACAGTCTTGTATCGCACCAATTTACTTTTGTGACAAATGCATAAAATTCGCGATCTAATGATTATTTGCTAAACTAGGTTATCTCGAAAACAGAGAGAGATCTACCACATTATAAAAGTAGCTGATAATATAAGCCTTGCTAATATCACAGCAAGTACTGTTGTATTTAACGCGACATTAAATTATATTTACACGATTGTTCATCTTTCACAAATTCGATGGAAAGTAGAATTCAAGCGTATGCTGCGAACATCGAGAAAACGCGAATTCATTTTCAGACGTTATATCCTTTGAGTCGCACACGATGACCGTTCAATGTCACGTTTTATGAGGCCAATTAGTACAAATGAATTTGCTTTGAGATATTACCGTTCGCGGTACGAATCGACAAAAGTTACATAAATTTCCGAGTAATTGTATTAGCGCACATTAAAGCATGCTTAATCCAAAATTACGAGAAACCACCGCCAGCCACGGTACCATAATTCGAAGAAAGGTTAATTGCGCCCTTCGTTGGCCCGGCCACTCGTATATCTAGTTCCTGTTTCCAGTATTAATTGGCCGATGCCTCTCTGAAACTGACTTAACGCGTTATCTCAATTAGAGAGATTAATTCGGCTACCTAAAGCCTGCAAGTAGACTTCGCGAAGAAGCTTGAGAACGTTCCCTTAAATATCGATACTAAAGCGTTAATTATTTTACTCAAAACAATTTATCAGTCTACGAATGCTATATCAGTAAATTAAGGATATTCATCAGGAAGTACATCGGTATTGTACACCTTGCTCATTCACAGAATCTTGACAACAGAGTTGGGAATGTTTTATTCGAATAACGAATGGCGAAGAAACTTTTATTCGTAGAATTTATTCGAATCGTTATTCGATATTAAAACTTTACTCGATATGTTATCCAAATAAAACTTTATTCGATGTATTATTATTCGAATACAACTATTTATTCGATATATTATTCGAATACAACTTTATTCGATATATTATTCGAATACAATTTTATTAGAATACAACTTTATTCGATATATTATTCGAATACAATTTTATTCGAATACAACTTTATTCGATATATTATTCGAATACAATTTTATTAGAATACAACTTTATTCGATATATTATTCGAATACAATTTTATTCGAATACAACTTTATTCGATATATTATTCGAATACAATTTTATTCGATATATTATTCGAATACAATCTTATTTGAATACAAATTTATTCGAATNTTATTCGATATATTATTCGAATACAATTTTATTAGAATACAACTTTATTCGATATATTATTCGAATACAATTTTATTCGAATACAACTTTATTCGATATATTATTCGAATACAATTTTATTCGATATATTATTCGAATACAATCTTATTTGAATACAAATTTATTCGAATACAATCTTATTTGAATACAAATTTATTCGAATACAATCTTATTTGAACACAAATTTATTCGAATACAACTTTATTCTAAGAATTTATTCGATATATTATTCCAATAAAATTTTAGTCGAAGAATTTATTCGACTAGTTATTCGAATAAAATTTTATTCGAACAATTTATTCGAGTCATTCGAATAAAATTTTGTTCGAACAATTTACTCGAAATATCGTTCTAAAAAAATTGTATTTGTATAACGCTCAACTCTGGTTGAGCGTAAAACACGAGTGGGCAGCATGATGCAAAAATACAGCGCATAAACCAGAAATTCTGAATATGTATAAAAATCTGCATTAGTAAATTCTTTGAAATACTATTTTCTAGTTCAGACTGCTCGTTAATGTGAGAATGTGGCTGCTGTTACAATCGTGCTGTTGTTATCGAGTGTCACGAGAAGATTGCGGGGAAACAGACGTCGGGTGAAGCGTCAAATGAATCCGAATCCGTGAAATTTCGATGGCCACTAATTCGGCAGGCAACGCGTTAATCACGACCAGTGTTTCTCTCTTTTCCTTTTGCGATCGAGCACTGTAATTGGGGTGCATACTTCCCGTCAGGATTCCCGAAGGCTTTTCGATTCGGTTTGTTCTCGGTATGTCGCGTGAAACGCGAAAAAATCCTGTCCTGCGCGCGTTGCAGCTCTTTTGATTGACTTCTTCAATCCGGTTACTCGTTATAATGGATCGCATTCACGCGGAGCCGGATTTCGATACCGTAAAACGGTTAAAAGCTCGATAGTCCGAAAAACGCGCTATTCAAGACTCTGCTTGTTGTTTGAACTACCAGGAAGCTCGTTGAAAAAAAAAAAATTCTGAAAGATGAAGGAAAAAATGCTCGTTGAAACGCGAGGGCTGGTAAAAACAGACGCACGGTGCGTTCAGCTAATGAGCGTTAGGGATAAAAAAAACTCCTGAATTACGTACTCGATTTTTAATAGAGATATTAAAAGGGAATACATCAAATTTTTATTCGAATAAAATTTTATTTAGATAGATTTTTATCTGGATAAATTTGTATTCGATCGAATATTTATCCGACATTGTCGAATAAAATTTTATTCGTTATTCTTTATCTTTTATCCGTCATCCGAATGAAATTTTGCCCGATTCTGTTTCCAACCTTACCCGAGTTGTTCAACACATTCTTAAATTCTACTCAAACCGACTGAAAAACCGATCTACCGATTTTTGACCGCAGAAAAACGCACTGCACAGTTCGCTGGCCAGCTGATGGAACAGATCGCGAGGATCGTTTATTCGGCGCTTCGTTCTAATTAATACTTTCGAAATGACTGGGAAGAAAGCGACCGGCAAGTTGATATAAACCTAGTTTAAATTGAAGTCGATGGGCGGAAGATCCGTAGATACTATCTACCCTTAATTCCCCAATGACCGTTCCCTGCCGTAATTACCTTCGAATGGGAGGAACAAAGTCAGCCAAGAAACTAAAATCATTCGGGCTCTCGAGCACTGTAAATGTGAAACTAATACTTAGAGCAATGGCACTTCCCGCGGTCCAGGAATGAAATTCAAACACTTTCATAACTCGATGGATTAGCTTTTCTCGCGGGTCTATGTAATTTTTGTTTCCGGCGAAAAAATACGAAAAGGTAGTTTAAAATTTCTAATTTATATTTTGAAAACTTTTGAAGCTGATAAGAAGCTTGAAGTACCAGGCAAACTTTAATCAGGCTACATTTATTTAAAGGAAATTCGTTGATGAAATAACTTCATTACATATAAATTCATTTAAAGGAAATTTGTTGCTTAAATCATTTTATTATTATAATGGAAACAACAGATTTTGTACCCGAATAAATTAAGACTAGACGTCATGATTTTGTGTCTTTGTTTCATTTACATTTTGTTATTAATAAATGCAAGAAGTGTCGTCGTTTCTTCGGAAACTGTTCAATTTAATCATCAATTATTTGTGTACTATTTTCAATAAATATAGTATATTTGGATTTTCAAATATATTTTTTAGCGATTTGGAACAAGCGCGATGTTTCGCTGTTTCCTGATTTAAAGCAACCGAAATCATTGCAAATATAAACTTATAAATTTCCTACTTGCTTTCTTTTTAGTTGATCGTGAAAAAATATCGAGGAGTAATTAATTCTCGAGAAGAGCATTCAGCAACTCGAACGAGTTGATAATAATGTTGTAACGCAAATTTTTTTTGAAGCATTTGTATCGGGATGACAAGCGCGAACGTTGGTTTCCAATCCCTGATCAGTACAATGACAATTAACACCCATTGTGGGTGAAATTGATCCAGACGCGTTGGGGATATGTGGTTGACAGTAACGTGACAAATGCGAGCGTTCAATTGGTGTGGATGTTGCGCGTTTTCTGCGGGTATCATTCGATTCTCTCTGAACGCGAAGCACATTGTTTTGCTTTATAAAGTTCTGTGACACTCGGTTGACAAGAATAGCACGAAGAATGTGTATACTGCTTGATCGTGATCATTCGCTGATTATAGCCCGATCGTGTTACGTATACGCAAGTTCAGCTCGTGGAATTCGATAGTTCGATGATAGTTCACACTAATTTCTTCTTTTTTATCCAATCTAGAAAACGATATCGAGATTGTAGAAGAATTTTTCCCAAAATAATGATCATCACGTAATCGTTCAAATGAATTAATAACTTTGTAACAAATTTAATTATTACTGCATCGATCCATATTAATTCCTCATTTACATGTTAGTGCAAATTAGGCTCCTTGTACCTTAATCTATCCTGTTTTCGTGCCTGTCATGATATTTGAAGAAAATAGGCAAACTATAATTTTGCAGTGGTATAAATACTAACACATTGCATGCGAGACACGTAATAAGGAGCTAAATAAAATCAAATGCAAGTTCATAGTAGAATAATAACAGTAACTACTTTGCAAAACAATTCCAGCCTCACTATCAAGAATGATTCGCGTACAATGTGTTAAGGATCGTGTAACAATTTCGAAATTATTTGTTGATGTAATATGCAAATTATTTGTAGCTCGCTTAAATCACATCGATGCATTCCTATGCGGCACAGATTGTCGAATAGAGAGATAGTTCCACATTTCGCAAACTATTATATCCGTACCGTATGCATAAACGAAATAGACAGTTGCAGTTTCATGAAATTCAATCTTGATATTACGGGCGCAGCGTCGAACAAGTTTCAAGACTCACTATCTCGCGAAGAAAAGTCTAAATTATACAGAATGTTCCAAAAATTCTCTGACAACAGGAATACACGCGTTACTTGTTAAATACACATAAAATCTTAATCATCCTCCTGATTTACTTCATGTACCAGAGTACGTTTCAGTTGAAACAGAAGTATGCATCTATGTGTATTACATTAAATTCGACGCTTCAGAACTGCAATTGTTGCACACGCTGTTCCAAAAATTTCTCTACTAACAGAATATACTGTTAAGCATATTAAAGTTAAATATAAAGTAATGTTAAATATACTGTCTCTTACTAACCAGTTTACCTGTTTTTGACGAGTATACTCGTCATGAAGAAATGGCAACATTTTCTGTTACGAAGAAATCTCGAAAACAACTGACTGATTAAAAATATTATATCATTGATGTTCTCTATTAAATTATATATTTTATAAAAGCGTCGCATTTAAGCAAGAACCGAAGAAAATCAAACAATGTGGTAACAGTAATTCACACCCTTCTCGAAGAGACAGCTAGCCGATTAAATACATATCGAACCTAGATCGTCGTTTACCAAATGCGTTTTCCTTGATTTACTTCGTGTCCTGAAATACGATTCAGCTGAAACCCAAGTACAGGTAAATTCGATGCTTCGAAGCCGTAACTGTTCTTGCGATCATCCTCGAACGTTTAAATTACACTCGCGGCGCTGCGCGAGACCCATAAATCTTGGCGGCCAAAAAACCGTCGCCCTCTCCATTCGAAACTGTCTCACGTTCGACAAAGAATGTTTCCCGTATTTTGCGAGCGATTCGATCACGATCGCGTGGCTTGCACACGTTCGACGCGCTATCCGTTCCCGAGGGCTGCTCCTTTATATATGCAGATTCGCTTTAGTTTCAGGACATGGACGGCGCATCGTCGTCGGAGAATCTGACGGCTTGTCGAATCCTACCGCAGTATGATTGGCCGTTCTTCCAAACGTCGTTCTTCCTGACGAGCTACCTGCTGCCACTGATGCTGATATGCTATTTTTACATTTGCATGCTCGTCAGGCTGTGGCGTCGCTCACGCGTCAGCGCCGAGAGTCGACGCGGAAGGAGACGCGTTACGAGGCTGGTGCTCGTCGTCGTCGGCGTTTTCGCAGTTTGTTGGTGTCCTATCCAGGTTAGTATCGCCCTCGCCTGTCCAACAAGGTATCCTGATAGCTACACCTTGTGTCGGGTCTCCGGTTCGCATGTTTCGAAACATAGCGGCCAGAGCTGGGTATTATTTACAGAGAAAATATTTGCAATATAGTATTTTCAATTATAGATTTTCGAATGTGGGATACAGAATTTCAGTAAAATAAATATTTTAGTTTGATAATCCACAGCCAGAGCGTGAAATAAATATTTTATTTTGATAATGTGAAACGTAAAATGAGATGGTCTATTTTGGTCATCTAAAGCAGTGCTTGGAACGCTTCGGAACGCAACATTAGGCTCCGCCTCCTGACAACCGCCGCAGCGTCTCGCTCTCCGCGTTGCTTCCATCTGCTCACAGTCGATTGAAGCAACGCGGGGAGCGAGGCGTT